TAAAAAATTCTAATAATAAAAAATAATATGAAAGTAAAAAGGAAAATTGTTATGATTTATGCTGGTTTAATGGTGGTTTTTTTTTAGAATTATGCCATATTTTTTTTCTGTGTAAAAAATTATTTTAGATTTTTTTATAAAATAGGTATTTAATATACGGATTTGAGTTAATTTTTTAGTTAATTATAAAGAATATTAGAACACAAGTAAGTAGAGTGCTTCGGTTCAAATTAACAATTTGATTTGTTATTACGGTAAAAAATAAGTGCATAAGTATATAAAGTCTTCGGGTATTTGACGAACAAGTGAGGATACCACGCCATTGGATGATGTTAATTATGTTATTGATAAAAAGAAATAGGCGAATACTGGATCAATTTTCTTTTGACGGCCGGCTGGAAGAATTATTGAGTGTCCCCTTGGTACTGTTGTTGATATTTGAAAGAGAGTTGGGTTGGCTTCAGTAGTCCGGTTTTCGCCAATTTTTTGGTAGAAATAGGAGTTGTATTCTGGGGCTGCCAATGAACCTCCTTTTTGGCCTAGTGTGAAAAATCATGCGATTCTCATTGGCTATAATTAACAAATAAGAATAAATATTGCTTATATTTATGATATTATGCCCTTCGTATCGAGCATTAACTGCATAACATGTTCGAGAAACAAGACAAATGTATTAGAAAATATCGACTTCCAAATTATATCTTTACTTCTGGAATGCCCAAAGGTTTATAGTCGATTATTGTTCAAAGGTTAATGAGTATAGATGAGTTTTGAAAATAAATTACCTTTTATTACAAAATATCTAGATAAATTTTATCAACAACAAATTAACACAGTTGGAGTTCAAAATGAATGAACCAAATGAAATTTAAAGGATAATATTTTTCATATCTAAATAAAATATCAGTAATAATTATTTTTTTTTTTGAAGTAATATTAATCCTATATGCAATGTATTGAGAATTTTTCAAATATTTCATTATAAAATAAATTTTTTGAATACAACCTGAAAATTCCTAAATAAATTTCCTATGATGCATACTATATGATGTACAATAATGTTGTGTTGCAAAAGGATATAAAACTCAAACACAAGTACAAAAATATTTTATATATATACACTCGTATATAGATACATTTATAATTTTTTTTTATATTTTAAAACATTCACATTAGGTAAACATTAAATGCACCTGCATTAATTTAATCAACCTCACCCCGTTTTTATCTTTTTTTTATTTTTTTAGTTAACTTCTTTTTAAAATACTAATAATAATTAAAAAAATCGAAAATCTTTGTTTTTTTTTTTAATTTTACTTTCTGTTTTATTAGCGTACGTATATCGATCGTATGGTTTTTATACCATAATCATTATTATTTTCGATCAAATCATATAATTAGGATGATTGAAGGGCGGTATAACAGTAATGACCATAAATAAACAAGTTGTGCAAAAAAAATGTGGCAATAAAATAATTTAATATTAAACAAGTATTCATTAATGTTGTATAAATAACAATTTTCCTGGTGGCTTAATTCAAATATTTTCAGAATATTTTAAGTATCACATAGGTAGATAATTGGATATCAGAAAACCAAATAATCATCGGAACACTGAATAAAATTTGAACATCAGCCGAGGTGGTGTGAGGTTGTCTTGAGAAATTTATCAAACTGCTTAAATATAATTTCAAATTTGCCGGCTCTCTTAATCAAAAACTCCAATCAATATTGTTACCGAAAAAATAAGGATACTAGAGATGTCCGCTATGGCTTTTGCAAACCTATAAATAGATCATGCACATCGAATGATAATTCAATGCGTATGAGAGTCGAATGTAATTTTTGTACGAAGAGTGAGGAAGCTCTAACGTGAGGTTATCATTCGCAACATAAGAAAATAGCCATAACCATTGTGATAAGGTTTCAATTTCCGGAACATTACAATTTGTTCAAATTGAGTAGGAAAAGAGTGAAGGATGGGTCGGTGGTATAGGTTTCAGTGCATTGTTATTCAATTGTTTAGTCCACAAGCTAAAAATATTAGACATTTTCCGATTTCTTGTTGAATGAAGTATTTAAGAGGAACTAAGAAATGGAATTTTAATATGTTTAGTATTCGTTTAGTATTAGCGATTATGACTAGCAAGAAGTAGGTACCGTTCGCAATGCATTTTAGAATAGATAAAAAATTCATACAATCCTAAAAGCTGGCAAAGAAATCAAAGAATTTTTCTTATTACTATAGATTTACAATAATTTTTTCTTTCATTAATATAATTGCTTCTTAAAACTATAATACTAACTCAGTCATTCCCTTTTTAATTTTATACACACATAAATTTATTATCTAAAATAAAACTTACGTAGAAATTCAAAGAAAAACTATAAATACCTATATAATCAAATATTACACTCTTAAAATATCATTAAGCAGAAATTAAAGAAAAATCGATGATGATGAAAGGAGTAAAACTATTAAAAAAAGGAAGGCATTAAAAACCTTCTCCTCTTTTTGACGAAAAATTCAAAGAAACATCAAAGACAAAAACAACAACTTAACTATATTTTATAAAAATCCTTTATATTAAACGACCATTAAAGCAAGAACATGGACAGAACAATAAAAGAATTAAATAAATTCTCGCGATTGCAACTTGGGTGTCATAAAACTATTATAATAATATTCTAAAAAAGTGACCAGTTATCACTTTTAACTAACAAATATCTATACACATAAACTTATACATACCAATAAGAGAAGAATCACAAGTTTCCGCCATACATTATAGGTTAGTAATAGATAGGATACTCAAAACTATGTTATGTATAAGATATTGTACACTCATTGAGAATATAGATCTTAATTTATTTTATGTACATAAAGATATACGTATGTATACCAATATAATATACGAGTATGTGTATTGTGGTTTTGTATAATCTGAAAGAGAATGACAGAAACCCATTAGTATCTTTCATGTTAAAAATGTCCTTTTAAATAGCTCCTATACATCAGGTAGGCATTCAGGCACGCAAATCTTTTGATGTTTTAAAAAAAAATCATTTTAACTTGTATACATATACAATATATTAACATGTATTTAATCTATTCATTTCTTGATAAAGAGGCAAAATTTAAAAAAAAAAGAAACCTTAAAAGCAGAGCGAATTCAATTCTTTTCAGATCAATTAAGAAATTATTGTGGTTAAGTTAGGCTCTTGTGTTCCTCTTTTGAATTGAATTTTTTTTACTTAAAATTAAAATATGAAATCAGAGCCAGCTAAGAGGCAGGCGGTCGTTATAACGGATATGTGCCGGGATATCAGGGTCGGAAGTGGAGGACTTGAAATATGTTATCTGTGATATAGAAGATTAAACGTATCTTGAGGCTTTCTTTTACGAAAATTTGGATGTGGGATAACTATTGGGAAAATTTTTTGCGCGGCTCTTGAGATTGATTGATTGAAGTCATTAGATGATTTGAGGACTCTTATTTCTCTCAGGAGGGTTAATTGACATGGTATAGCCGATTTGCTTTTTATTGACCTAATGCATTGGCTCTATTCATTATAATATGTGATCACCGACTCATTGAACAGTTTCATCCAAGTTCAGTAAAATATTTTTAGACTACCATCACTATTTTATTAAGGTAAAACTAAAAAAAAATACCTTATATCTAAATAAAAAATACCTAAATTTTACATATAAAATTTATTGAAAACAGAAGAGTGATGACAGCCATCCATTTGATAAGATAATAAAAAAAAAAAACAACCAATTCTCATATTGAATTTTTCCAACATTTTATTTATGATCTGATCTTATATACGAGGACACACACTGACTCCCTGAATATTACCCTATATGAATTAATATTGAATCATAGATACATATAATACAGACTCTTATTTGAGAGTGAATGACTGCATATATGACACAAAACAGGAATTATATTGTATTTCTGGTGCAACATACTCGTAAAAAAAAAAATCTAGTGAATGAACTTTTTGTAAAATTATTCCTGTGAATCAAACATAAAATTTTATTAGGTTTATATAATAAAAGACAAGAAATTTTAGGTATCCATATGGATAAATGAATAACACTGAAATTGTATGTAGATCTAATTTATCTTTGTGTTTCCTTGTATATAATATGAATGTTTGCTTCCTTAAAGTATTAATACTAGTAATACTAAGTCACCCATAAGATTTGATGATATAATTAAAAGAACAACGCTCGTAGCCTAGGTCTAATTAGATATAGTCGATGTAGATCAAAATAAATAATGGAAGCAAGTATATAGTATCTTTTGCTTCTTCTCTCACAACACAATTAGACGGTATATTTTAGTTTCTCTCTTATTTAAATTACCTGCCACTAAATCCTTTGCATATTTTAAAAATACCCTTTTCCTTATATTTGATGAAAATAAATAAAATTAACATTTTATATGTCTTTATTGATTAAATTAACAAAAGAAAGAAAAGAAAGAAAATTAATTATGTATATTATAAAGAAGATACTTAATATACCGATTTGAATACAATAATGGTGAATATGAATGGAGGACCTCACTTAAAAACTATAAAAACAAGAAAGAAAATTATGTAGCCAGCGCATAGTCAATCGCAACTTTAATTTTCTTAACAGTATTAAGAATTTCTTCATTATTCTTGCGAGTTTGAAGAAAAGCTTTAACAAGATTGTAAACACACTGAAAAGTAAAATAGCGCATAGTAAGGGTCGAGACTCTGCGGCATAATCTGATTCAAAAATTTCGACTCAATATCAAGTGCACAAATAGGCAGGCAAATTGGTGGAAAGCCAGGCATCTTAAAACAATTAATTTACGCTTCCATGCATTACGCTTCTTATTTCCTCTGAAAATTCGACATACAGAATTCGGTGCTATCACACCTGTATGTAATGATTTCCTTACTATATGCAATGCGGTCGGTAAGAAAACAAAAACATTAACATAAAAGTGATGATGAGTGTAATTTTTCTTTTAAGGTTATTTTTATATTTCTCAATATATTTTTAAGGTTAAATAATTAACAAAAAGAGTAAACTAATAAGTATAAGAACAGCAGTAGCAGCAGCAGCAACAGCAGCTTGCTACTAACTACATTATGTATGTGACATTTTAGTGATAATTCCACTGATTACCTTCTCTTTTTATTTCGATTTGGTGGTTTTTTTTTATTTTTTTCGATTTTCTCTTCTGTTCTGTTTGCCTTTTTCTCTAAATGTTAAGTGTAAGAATTTAATTTTGTATCGCTTTAAATTTTCAAAGGGTACAAACATGCATACAAACATGCAAGATGTTTTGAATAAAAAAAAATCGGATATAAATATTATTTTGTACAATTTAATTCATTTAATAAAAAAAAAACAAAAGTATAAAAGAGTAAAGATGGAAATTTGTAAGAGCGCATGAAGTTTGTTTGTATGTTCTACGATTTTTAAGTGATCAGGTTGATTTTTATTACTTTTATTCGGATGTATCTGTGGTGGTATATACATTTTATCAAATTAGTGTCCAGATATTTTATTATAATTACAATATATTATTATTTTTATGGATTTTTCAACGTACATAAGTATGTAAATGCTTCCACACATAACAGAGGTTATATTTAAGAACTTATGTGTATTATGTGTGTTTCCTGATAGAAAATATAGCCTTGATTAGTTATTTAAATAATTTTTATTCCTTTAGCATTTCCTTAAATAATATTCATTGTCGTCGTCATCAACATCATCAACATCATCATTATCAAAAAGTTATAAAATAAATTAAGTGTAGACCTCACACGATTTCTTATATTATAACCTGGTATATAAACAATTTTATACAATATAGAATATTTTATAATATATGCGTGGATAAAAATGAAGTTTAATTTAAAAGAAGGCAAAAAACAAAAAAACCAAGTTTATGTTAATTTTAATGTCATTTGTAGAGAAGATTGTATTCTTTACATGTAATATTATTTAATGTATAAAAAATGGAAATTGAAAGTACTTACATAATTAATATACATAATGTGCATTTCCATATTAGTTTTGGAAAAAATGAAAAAAAAAAAACCAAATTGTTATTATTAAAGCAGCTTTATTACTTCAATTAGTTAAATTGTTTGTCTGAGTTATATGCTAAAATGTTGCATATACTGCTTGTTTATTTTGCGTAATGAAAAACAGGTTTATTTTAAGCATTAAACAAGCTTTATACTCAAGTACATAAACACGAACGTGCGCCTTTGTAAGCACGAAAGTTTATTATATGTTGTAACGAAGAACGTAGATGCACAAAAAAAAAATTTAAAATGAAAATTCGCAATATTTCTACTATATGAGCGAAAAGAGCACGTATAACATAGCAAATAGAGCGAAAAACAGCGAAAAACAGCGAATTCAAAAAAATTCCTTTTCAAACTCTAATTTAATGAAAAAAAATTTGTATTTTTCATAAATATTTAATAATTTTATTTTTTCTCTTAATTTTTTGTTGATTTTATTTTATTCTCTCAGCTTATAAATTCTTCTCTATTTCTCTTTCTATATTATATACACAGAAAATTTGATCTTTTAAAAAATTTGAAAGAAAAAAATTTTTAATTAAAAAATTAATTTATGTTATTTTTGTTTTTCCTTTTATTTCTAGACGATATTAAATTCAATGCATAAATATCAACCAAGATTTCATTTGGTACGAGCAAATGACATCCTTAAATTACCATATTCAACATTTAGAACATATGTATTTAAAGAAACTGAATTTATAGCTGTAACTGCATATCAAAATGAAAAAGTGAGTAAATTTAGAAAAATTAATTATTATTAAAATAAAATAATCAAATTCAATTGCAATTGTAATTAAATTTTTTGCATTTTTTTTAATTTAGATTACTCAATTAAAAATAGATAATAATCCATTTGCAAAAGGATTTCGAGATACTGGTGCTGGTAAACGTGAAAAGAAGTGAGTATCACTAAATTTTAATATTACATATAAAAAAATGTTTTTGTAAAATATGAGGGCTATGCTCATGAGTGCTCAGAGAATAGCGCCTAGTCTTCAATATCCTCACTAGATTGTAGAGTGTAGATTCCAAGGGAACCGAGTGAAGAAATTCGCAATAGTGCGAACCAGGCTCCTGCTCATCCCCAGCAACTCTGCGGTGAATCCGCTGGAGCACGCCGGGAGAAACACTTTCGCATGACGGCACCCTTTCGTGTCCCGCCAGTGACGGCCGCATTCCGCCGCGAGCAGGCAGATAAACCTGCCCCCCCCCAAAAGAAGAAGGCAGACTGCAAAAAGGCAGCGGCTGCACAAAGTCAACCCCAGATCACCTCCGCGCCAGCCCATCGCCAATTTCATTGCCCGCATGGCCACTATGGCCCGGCATGACTCTGTTCTTCGATGCCAATTCCATAAGTGCAGCAAGGCAGCCCCAGACCAGCTTGGATGTAACCTGGGCTGAACGAAGCGGCAGCAGTGCAGCCCATATCATGTCATCGGTGAGTCGTAGCACAAACGGAAAAGCTACCTCTATATCAAGGAAGCAGTCACCTGCCACCTCCCGCACTTCCAGTGAGTTTTCAAGGACCACTACCAGACTCTGCAGAGCGAGTACAGTAGACCTTCCTGTCTGATAGGCGTACTGAGATTCATGCAATGGATTGCTTCCCAGTGCATCGTCCCGTATAAATCTATCAATAGAAATGAGCCATCAGGCCGTTTCATTAGGCCCAACCCGCCAGCATACTTTTTGGAAAGCACCCTGTGAAGACGCGCACTGCTGGAGAGTTCATCAATGCCCTTGCAGAACGCCCTCCACGAAATTCTCTTTGCTTTCCTAATTTCTTTATTGTATTTCGTGAGTGAGTCTTTATACTCTTCCCACGAACCCGACGCCTTGGCCTTATTGAATAGTTTTCTGGTCTTTAGTCTAAGCCTTGAAAGCTCTTCATTCCACCACGAGCTCCCATGGTAGACACTAGTAATAGCCGCCATCAAAGCCTCGCTGGCCAGTTCGATATCCATCACCGTTCTGACAGAAGCAGGAACGGATCCAATCCCATCCATGAGGAGTGTTTCAAATTGACTCCGATAAACTCAGTGCAAAGGGTGATATCAAGGACCTCTTCTCTAATTGCATTTATGAATGTCGGCTTATTGCCCTCATTCATAACCATTAATATATTGCTATTTATAAATTCAAGTAGGCACTCACCTCTTTTGTTTATATTACTGCTTCCCCAAACGATGTGGTGGGCATTGGCATCACTTCCTATATAAGTTCCTCCTTCCACAAAAGTCCACTAGATCTTTCAGTTGCTCGTTCGCGTGGGCACAGTCCCCCGGGAGGTAGGATGAGCACACAATGAACTCTGTCCAGCCCCCGGAATACTTCACCTTCACCAACGCAGCTACCTGATCCTTAGAACAGTAATCTGGAATGGGAAAATACGTTAGCCTTTTATTAAACAAAATGCAAGCCCTAGGCCTGCCCCCAATTGTATTATCATACAATAGCTCACCTGTTAGGCTCTTAACCTGATCCTTCACTATGTAAGGCTCTTGGATAAGGACGATATTGAGGTGATCCTTCATAAATCTATGAGCTAGAACATCAGTAGATGCCCTAGCATGCTGTAGATTTATTTGGATGCACGTCACAGCCATATCATTTCCTCCGGCTCTTGTCTATGGGCTTTGGCCCTTTAGACAAAGGCTTTATATGAGTCTTGCTTCCCATTGCCGCCTTTTTACGCATCTTGGTGGGCGCCTGCCCTGCCACAGCCTCCTTTGCCGTCCTAGGTGCGACGCTAGCCACTCCAACAGTTCAACAGTCCTTTTAGTTCACCCGGGGCGCTTGTATTTGGCGCGCTGGTCGATGGTCCTTCCATTTCCCTTGCCGCCATTTTCGGGGCGACTTCAGACTTTCCAATGAGTTTTTTCTCTTTTGGTTGGCCTGAAGTGCTCGTCGTTGTCGCGGTGGGCGTTGGTTTTTTATTTTGTCCTGCCCTGTCACCAGCACTTTGAGAGGATTTTCTTCCTTTAACCCGAACGGTAGCACGGAAGAAATTCAGTAAAAGTCGGAACTCCGCCTTCCGTAGATCTTCCAATCCGGAATCATCCACGGAAAAGGTGATGGAGCAGCCCCAATCCTTTTCCTTATCCATCCTCAGCACCCTCCAGGAACTCATCTTGAGGCTGGGATTTAGCTTCCCTATCCTACTTAGAAACTTGTCCCTGGAGAGACTGACGGTTGTCTCGTCCTTTAGCATGTAGGTGACGCAGACATGCTGTTTGGGCATGTCGTCGCCATCCAGTACCACGACGTTGCAACCGTCCCAAGGTTTTATCTTCCTGCAGACACTAGTTATCCACTCCCTAATGTTTTTCGTTGATTTTTGCATGTTACGGATATCCATCCATCCCTTTGCAACGCTGCAGTGAATTATGGATGAGAATCCACAACTTTATCCATTTCATCAATGATGGCTACTTTGATTTTCCCCATCTGAACTTCGGATAGCCTTTGCTCTGGATGCAGTTTATGAGTGATGGCCACCTTGACCTGTGCTACTGCATCCCGATAAGAAGTTATTTTCGGGTTTTGTTAAGGAATGTTCCCAGGGACCGTTTCCTCAACATTGCCCTTTATCGACCTCTTTTTTGAGGGCCCTGCATCAGGGGTGTTGTTTTCTGACCTTTCCTTCTTCTGGGGATGGTCACCCACAACACCCGATCCGCAGGCCCTCAGCTTTTCTAGCCTTTCCTTCTCATATCTGCGAGCTTCCTCTGGGGACATGCCATCCCTGATATAAGCCGGGATACGCCGCTTAGATGCACCAGAGAAATATTGTTTTTTTCCCCTGATGTCCAACCTTTTCAGGTCCTCCTCAGTTTGTTGGATAATAGATCCTAGAGGATCCTGATTATCCGTCTCCATCGGAGGCGCCGCTTTTTCCTCTAATGGCGTGAGAAGGAGTTCCTCCTCTGCGTCAGTCGAGAGAAGCTCTGGTTCCGCAGACCCTTGAGCACTAACTGTGTTTTTATTAATGTTGTCCTTAGTATTGTTGTTGTAGTAGTCACTGTTGTTATTGTTGTTGTTGTTGCTATTGTTGTTGTTGTTGTTCTTGTTGTTGTTGTTGTTGTTGCATTTGTTGTATTTGTCACAGTTGTTGTTCTTGTTGTTGCTGTTATTGTTGTTATTGTTTATGTTCTCCATTTTTGTTGTTGTTTTTTTAATTTTCAAATCCTTAACCCGAGATGATTATAAGTAATTCTCTTTTATTGCAATCCATGTGGACCGGTTTTTAAAATAAGTATTTAAAGCAGTTTAATATTGTAATCAATCGGTATAATTCCTTATAATATCATTTAAAAGACAATAAAAAGTGCAATATCATATTTTGCCCAAACATTCAAAATTTAATATCTAAATTCACCCTAGTATTCCGATTCAAAGTAAGGAAACAAAAGATTGTTTTATAAAAAATTGTATATTTTTCTTTTAAATCTGCATTTTAATTATATGAAAAAAAAATGATACTTTTTTTATTTAAATATTTGTGCTTGAACAAATTTACGTCAAAATTCTTAAATTTTTAATCCTCTTATTCTTAAATTTTTAATACTTTTAATTCACAGCGTATTTTCGCTAAGATTTGCACTAAGTATGAAAAAACAGTCCTCTTTCACCTTTCAAGATACTTTTAAATAACAAGCAGCCAAAGAAATATCAGCGTATTGCTCCAGACAAGCTCTATGTCTATATTTACTCTTGATGCTACTGTTATACAAAAATTTTCAAACTCAATTCCAAGTTAATATTCAATTCACTTTTCTTGCAATAAACAAATAAATCATTTAATGTATTTAACTTGTAATCCGAATATACAAATAATACACTCTTATATTAAGCATAAAAGGGTCAATTTGTATTCTATACTTATAACAATGAGTTAATTCTTGTGTTTCTCGAAATTATTTTAACTTTATTAAAAGAAATTTAATATTCGAAAGTACAAAAAGTCATAGTTTAATGATGATCCAAAAATATCTACTGTAATGATTCTTCAAAAATGCAAAATCTTTTTCACCCATTTCATTTGTTTGTTTTTTAATTCCTATTTTGTTTTCTCAACCTATTGTCTATTAATAATTATCTCAATTTAACATGGTCACAACATACATACATAAAAATGTTAAATATTCAATTATACACAGGGAAATCACAACTCAACGAACGATAAAAACGTTCCTATATAGAAAGGAAACTGTAAATTGTTTTTGATTTTTGTTTGTTCTCTTTTGATTTTAATAAATCATAAGCCCACAAATCAGAGTATTAACATCCATCAAGGATAAAGTCAATAACAAAGTGAAAAAGGATATTTCTTGCAATTGATCTCTTTAGGCTTTTTTCCGACTCAATTTGTTTCTTTCCTTATTTATCTATTTAATAGATACGGTTTGTGAATGTATTATAGGTATTAAGAATGTACACTTGTGTATTTTATGTTAGATATCCATAGATATAACAGAGAGAGATAGGAAAAAAAAATTTAAAAATATATGAAGAGTGCAAGTTACATTCACATGAATGACTTTCAAAAAAAAAGAACTCATCTCCATTCCTTCTGAACATAAACCGATTCCCTTTAGCCATTTTTATCATATCATTTCCCATAGCAAAAATTTTTGGGGAAAATGGTCCAACAATATAAATGTATGTATGTAAATGCATAAAAGATGAGAGTTAAAGTTCAGGATGTATCATGATTCTATTATTATTTTTTTTTACTTCTCTAAAGGGGTTGTAAATCAAAAGAAATTTAAAATTTTGTTCATTTTTGGGATTTTCTTTATGTGTAAGTGTGTGTGTGTATCACCATATTTTTGGACACTGGTATTAAATGCTTATTCTGTAGATGACTTTAGAATGTTAAGATCTTACAATAATATGC